TAAAAACTGAAACTCGGGCACTTTTTTTCTACAGAAAGCCCAATAATGTTTCACAAGGTTCTGTCTGCTGAGTAGATTTAAGCTGGTCGAGATCCATATACCAACATAACAATGCCAAGAAATATCCATAAGTAAAAAAAAAAAAAAAACCCTCACTAAGAAAATCCAGGCGACTCCCAAGCAAATGGGGAATACATATATAATAAAGCAGAGAGGCGTCGGAACCGGAGGTGCTCCAGCACTCCCACGTTTACACATTTGACTTATATAGCAACTGTAACTTATATTATTATATTAATTTTCAGGGGGCATGCCCCCCAGACCACCCTAGAATGAGCTGCTTTTGGCAGCACGGAGCTTCTTCTACTTTCAATCTGTCATTGTGAAATCTGTATGTCTAGACAAGCACCCCCTACCTTTGAACTCCTTCCTACACCACTGAAAGAATATCTTTGAATGCAAGTCAGGGGATCTCAAGCATTAAAATGAAGAGTCAAGACCTCCTCTTAGTGGTAATTTGATTTACATATTATATAGAATCCAAAGAAATTATGGGATATTATGTAGTGTTTACAAAGAAAGAGAACCCTAGAACGGAATATCTAGTATCAGAATTTCATACATTTCAGAAGAATTGTATGTGACAGGTTTATTTAGTAACGAAGGTTGGTAAGCTTTCTCGGTGAGACGAGATATATAATAGGGATATATCTCAAGTAAGCAGATCATCTCAGGGAATCATCAAATTCCTTTACTGCACCCGTCTTATGAGTTGATATTTTTAGTCTTTAAATGGGGGGGGGGGACTGGCAGTATCACAATATCTGTCGGTTTTTATTGTTGTCAACAGTAGTAATGTATCGGAGTACTGTCAACAGTAGTAATGTATCGGAGTATTGTCAACAGTAATAATGTATCGAAGTATTGTTCCTTAATACACGTGCAGTTTTTACTATTCGAATCAACGCGAACCGTTCTTTTTCTAATCAGATAAGCCTATTCAAGGATCCTATCTATCTGGAAAGAATTTGAAAGCCTGTGTTTAAATAAAAGCTATTATTAACAAATGTTTGTTTTTTGTGGCTACTCAGTGGCTGACGGCGCTGCCTCCAATAATAATGATAGACTAAATGGGATCCAACTAATCAAAACACCCCCCCCCCCACGCCAAGTCTTTGGATAGCCTTTACCAAAGAACAGTGGAGTTGACAGTCATATTATAATGCCCCCAAGGACGAGAGGGCGATCATGTTCAATGTCGAGATTCGAACCAACAACCTTCAGATTGCAAGTCAAGTGTCTTAGCCACCAGGCCATGCCAAGCCCTAATCTTTTACACCACAGTCGTTTGTTATAATACGATACAAAGATCAGCATACTCAATAAAATGTACATTATATGAAATGCAGAATTCTAACACCTACTAATAAAGTAGTCTTTGCTAGCATGAGCCCGAGTCTCCGGTAGTTGGCATTTTTTTATTAGGGAGCGACACACAGTTTTGTAACAAAAGAACCGATATATTTTAATAACCTATAGAATTAAGAGTGGTACAATAGTTCATTTGTTGAGTTTTTAAATAGATTAGATTAAAACTATTTTTCGACTACGATAGCAGTCTTAAAGTCTGATTACAGAGATTGCCGAGAATAGAAACAGGCGTATAAACACGTGGTCTATCTGCTCCTCGAAATTCTTTTACTTAATCATTTCCAGTTATTGACTGGTTTGATATTCATCCAAGTTGGATAAAAATATTTCAGAACTAATGTGATAAAATCGGTATAGATCTTGATAACACTGAGTTCTGATATTTAAACACCCATGATGTACCGCTAATATCAATAACACATGCTCTGTTATAAATGGCTTAGGGATGCGAGTTAGAACTTTGGAACCTTAAATAACGCCTAAGAATTCAATAGTACATTGTACTGTACACCATGAAATTTAATAACGTTTGTTTTAGCTGGATGTAATTTGATTTCAGGCCCGGCATGGCCAGGTGGTTAGGGCGCTCGACTCGTAATCTGAGGGTCGCGGGTTCGAATCCCCGTCACACCAAACATACCAACCTCCGCCTTTGCCTGGTCCCAAGTCCAGGATGAGAAAGGGGGAGAGTTGGGCGCGGGGCTAGCGCTAGCAACTCCTCCGCGTAAAAACCAACCTGCTACAAGTAACTGCAACAACACCTTCCGTTGGCGAGTTGTTTTTGCGGCCCTATGCTCCACTGGGAGTTTATAGGAATAAAAAAAATTGATTTCTCGTAATTAATACCGATTTTCAAACGAATATAGCAAAGCTTGTAACTGGGCTTTCAGCAGTTCTTATCACAAGTAAATTGCTGGTCATGGATGATGAAATCAGTTAACGAATCAGTGTCGTTTTAAGAAAATTGAGTACCAAAGAACTAAGAGTTCCACTCTGAGTAAAAATATTGATTCCAGAAACTCAAGCCATTGTGTGTCTGATACGTAGGAAATACGATAGCCATCAGTATTAAACTGTTAAGTAAACTGTATTTATCAAAATTGTGTCTAAAGCCATTGT